GAGGCCTGGGGGTGATGGGGACCCACCTGGAGGCCTGGGGGTGATGGGGACCCACCTGGAGGCCTGGGGGTGATGGGGACCCACCTGGAGGCCAGGGGGTGATGATAGAGATGATGGGGACCCACCTGGAGGCCTGGGGGTGATGGTAGGGGTGATGGGTACCCACCTGGAGGCCTGGGGGTGATGGTAGGGGTGATGGTAGGGGTGATGGGGACCCACCTGGAGGCCTGGGGGTGATGGTAGGGATGATGGGGACCCACCTGGAGGCCTGGGGGTGATGGTAGGGGTGATGGGGACCCACCTGGAGGCCTGGGGGTGATGGTAGGGGGTGATGGGGACCCACCTGGAGGCCTGGGGGTGATGGTAGGGGTGATGGGGACCCACCTGGAGGCCTGGGGGGTGATGGTAGGGATGATGGGGACCCACCTGGAGGCCTGGAGGTGATGGGGACCCACCTGGAGGCCTGGGGGTGATGGTAGGGGTGATGGGGACCCACCTGGAGGCCTGGGGGTGATGGGGACCCACCTGGAGGCCTGGGGTGATGGTTGGGGTGATGGGGACCCACCTGGAGGCCTGGGGGTGATGGTAGGGGTGATGGGGACCCACCTGGAGGCCTGGGGGTGATGGTAGGGGTGACGGGGACCCACCTGGAGGCCTGGGGATGATGGGGACCCACCTGGAGGCCTCGGGGTGATGGTAGGGGTGATGGGGACCCACCTGGAGGCCTGGGGGTGATGGTAGGGGTGACGGGGACCCACCTGGAGGCCTGGGGGTGATGGGGACCCACCTGGAGGCCTGGGGGTGATGGTAAGGGTGATGGGGACCCACCTGGAGGCCTGGGGGTGATGGTAGGGGTGATGGGGACCCACCTGGAGGCCTGGGGGTGATGGTAGGGGTGATGGGGACCCACCTGGAGGCCTGGGGGTGATGGGGACCCACCTGGAGGCCTGGGACAGAGTGGAATGACAAGGACAAAGCAGCAGTGAATGAAGTACTAAAGGCACTAGACATGGAAGGGGCCGAGCATAGCATTGAGAAGGTTTTCCGGCTAGGCCGGTACAACAAAGACCGAGACCGAATGATAAAGATAGTGTTTGCAAACGAGAACACAAAGGAGAGGATCCTATCAAGGAAGAGCTCCCTGAAAAACGTGGGAAAATTAAAAAATGTATTCCTCCAGCGAGACATGACAAGGGAGGAGAGAGCCGTGGCGGCAGAAGCAAGGAAGAGGCGCAGGGCGAGAGGGGAAAACCAGGAAGTCACAGCTCCCAACACAACACCCCCAGAGGCGAGGGGGGAACCCACAACCAGCTACCCAGTAACACCAGAAGGGAGGACAACCCCGCCTCCCTCCTCTGCATAGAAAACCCCCCTACCCCAAACCCTCCCTGCCCCCACTCAAAAGTTCAGCCAAATCTCCTCCCCCCACACCCAATCCCCACCCTTCTACCCTCCCCTCCTCCCGAGTCCTCCCTCCCCCCCTTTCCTTCCCGTCCTCCCTCCCTTTTCACCCCATACCCTCCCTGTCCCTCCCCCTTCACTGGATCCCCCGCCCCTCATTCCAGTATCCTCTGAGATCCTGTTACCCACCTCACAGGTCCTCACACCCATGGAACAGCCTCCCCCACCAGCAGAACACTCACCAAGGAGGCGATTTGAGAAGGGACAGAAGAAAGTGAGCCTCAAAGCGATGTACACTAACATAGATGGAATTACAAATAAAGCAAATGAGCTTGGAGAACTGGTACTAGAGGAAAACCCAGACATAATAGCCCTCACAGAAACAAAGATCACGAAAACAATAACAAATGCAGTGTTCCCACAGGACTATTATGTTATGCGGAAAGAGAGGGAAGGAAGAGGTGGGGGTGGTGTAGCTCTGCTGGTAAGAAAAGGCTGGGATTTTGAGGAGATGGATATTCAGGGCTGTGAAGGTTTCAGTGACTACATAGCAGGTACTGTAACAAATGGAGGGAAAAAAATTATAGTTGCAGTCATATATAATCCACCACCAAATGACAGAAGACCAGGAATGGGGGGTGATGGTAGGGATGATGGGGACCCACCTGGAGGCCTGGGGGTGATGGGGACCCACCTGGAGGCCTGGGGGTGATGGTAGGGGTGATGGGGACCCACCTGGAGGCCTGGGGGTGATGGGGACCCACCTGGAGGCCTGGGGTGATGGTAGGGGTGATGGGGACCCACCTGGAGGCCTGGGGGTGATGGTAGGGGTGATGGGGACCCACCTGGAGGCCTGGGGGTGATGGTAGGGGTGACGGGGACCCACCTGGAGGCCTGGGGGTGATGGGGACCCACCTGGAGGCCTGGGGTGATGGTAGGGGTGATGGGGACCCACCTGGAGGCCTGGGGGTGATGGTAGGGGTGACGGGGACCCACCTGGAGGCCTGGGGGTGATGGGGACCCACCTGGAGGCCTGTGGGTGATGGTAGGGGTGATGGTAGGGTGATGGGGACCCACCTGGAGGCCTGGGGGTGATGGTAGGGGTGATGGTAGGGGGTGATGGGGACCCACCTGGAGGCCTGGGGGTGATGGTAGGGGTGATGGTAGGGGTGATGGTAGGGGTGATGGGGACCCACCTGGAGGCCTGGGGGTGATGGGGACCCACCTGGAGGCCTGGGGGTGATGGTAGGGGTGATGGTAGGGGTGATGGGGACCCACCTGGAGGCCTGGGGGTGATGGGGACCCACCTGGAGGCCTGGGGGTGATGGTAGGGATGATGGGGACCCACCTGGAGGCCTGGGGGTGATGGTAGGGGTGATGGGTACCCACCTGGAGGCCTGGGGGTGATGGTAGGGGTGATGGTAGGGGTGATGGGGACCCACCTGGAGGCCTGGGGGTGATGGTAGGGATGATGGGGACCCACCTGGAGGCCTAGGGGTTATGGTAGGGGTGATGGGGACCCACCTGGAGGCCTGGGGGTGATGGTAGGGGGTGATGGGGACCCACCTGGAGGCCTGGGGGTGATGGTAGGGGTGATGGGGACCCACCTGGAGGCCTGGGGGGTGATGGTAGGGATGATGGGGACCCACCTGGAGGCCTGGAGGTGATGGGGACCCACCTGGAGGCCTGGGGGTGATGGTAGGGCTGATGGGGACCCACCTGGAGGCCTGGGGGTGATGGGGACCCACCTGGAGGCCTGGGGTGATGGTTGGGGTGATGGGGACCCACCTGGAGGCCTGGGGGTGATGGTAGGGGTGATGGGGACCCACCTGGAGGCCTGGGGGTGATGGTAGGGGTGATGGGGACCCACCTGGAGGCCTGGGGGTGATGGGGACCCACCTGGAGGCCTGGGGGGTGATGGTAGGGATGATGGGGACCCACCTGGAGGCCTGGGGGTGATGGGGACCCACCGGGAGGCCTGGGGGTGATGGTAGGGGTGATGGGGACCCACCTGGAGGCCTGGGGGTGATGGCTACCCACCTGGAGGCCTGGGGTGATGGTAGGGGTGATGGGGACCCACCTGGAGGCCTGGGGGTGATGGTAGGGGTGATGGGGACCCACCTGGAGGCCTGGGGGTGATGGTAGGGGTGACGGGGACCCACCTGGAGGCCTGGGGGTGATGGGGACCCACCTGGAGGCCTGGGGGTGATGGTAGGGGTGATGGGGTCCCACCTGGAGGCCTGGGGGTGATGGTAGGGGTGACGGGGACCCACCTGGAGGCCTGGGGGTGATGGGGACCCACCTGGAGGCCTGGGGGTGATGGTAGGGGTGATGGGGACCCACCTGGAGGCCTGGGGGTGATGGTAGGGGTGACGGGGACCCCACCTGGAGGCCTGGGGAGGCCTGGGGGTGATGGTAGGGGTGATGGGGACCCACCTGGAGGCCTGGGGGTGATGGTAGGGGTGACGGGGACCCACCTGGAGGCCTGGGGGTGATGGTAGGGGTGACGGGGACCCACCTGGAGGCCTGGGGGTGATGGTAGGGGTGACGGGGACCCACCTGGAGGCCTGGGGGTGACGGGGACCCACCTGGAGGCCTGGGGGTGATGGTAGGGGTGATGGGGACCCACCTGGAGGCCTGGGGTTGATGGTAGGGGTGACGGGGACCCACCTGGAGGCCTGGGGGTGATGGGGATCCACCTGGAGGCCTGGGGGTGATGGTAGGGGTGACGGGGACCCACCTGGAGGCCTGGGGGAGACGGGGACCCACCTGGCGGCCTGGGGGTGACGGGGACCCACCTGGAGGCCTGGGGGTGACGGGGACCCACCTGGAGGCCTGGGGGTGATGGTAGGGGTGACGGGGACCCACCTGGAGGCCTGGGGGTGATGGTAGGGGTGACGGGGACCCACCTGGAGGCCTGGGGGTGATGGTAGGGGTGACGGGGACCCACCTGGAGGCCTGGGGGTGACGGGAACCCACCTGGAGGCCTGGGGGTGATGGTAGGGGTGATGGGGACCCACCTGGAGGCCTGGGGGTGATGGTAGGGGTGACGGGGACCCACCTGGAGGCCTGGGGGTGATGGGGACCCACCTGGAGGCCTGGGGGTGATGGTAGGGGTGACGGGGACCCACCTGGAGGCCTGGGGGAGACGGGGACCCACCTGGAGGCCTGGGGGTGACGGGGACCCACCTGGAGGCCTGGGGGTGACGGGGACCCACCTGGAGGCCTGGGGGTGATGGTAGGGGTGATGGGGACCCACCTGGAGGCCTGGGGGTGATGGTAGGGGTGATGGTAGGGGTGATGGGGACCCACCTGGAGGCCTGGGGGTGATGGTAGGGGTGATGGGGACCCACCTGGAGGCCTGGGGGTGATGGTAGGGGTGACGGGGACCCACCTGGAGGCCTGGGGGTGATGGTAGGGGTGATGGGGACCCACCTGGAGGCCTGGGGGTGATGGTAGGGGTGATGGGGACCCACCTGGAGGCCTGGGGGTGATGGTAGGGGTGACGGGGACCCACCTGGAGGCCTGGGGGTGATGGTAGGGGTGATGGGGACCCACCTGGAGGCCTGGGGGTGATGGTAGGGGTGACGGGGACCCACCTGGAGGCTGTGAGGGGCAGGTTGATGGAGCAGAAGAGCAGGTCGGAGGCACACAGGCTGATGACGAAGGCGGTGGTGGCGTGGACCCGCAGCTTAACACTTCTGCTCAGTGCTATGATGGTCACCAGGTTACCTGTGGAGAACACCTGTGGTTACTGCCTCGCCTTACACACACCTGTCTTACACACCTGGCGCCCTCCACCTGTCTTACACACCTGGCGGCCTACACCTGTCTTACACACCTGGCGGCCTACACCTGTCTTACACACCTGGCGGCCTACACCTGTCTTACACACCTGGCGCCCTCCACCTGTCTTACACACCTGGCGGCCTACACCTGTCTTATACACCTGGCGGCCTACACCTGTCTTATACACCTGGCGGCCTACACCCTACACCTGGCGGCCTACACCTGTCTTACACACCTGGCGGCCTACACCTGTCTTACACACCTGGCGGCCTGCACCTGTCTTACACACCTGGCGGCCTGCACCTGTCTTACACACCTGGCGACCTACACCTGTCTTACACACCTGGCGGCCTACACCTGTCTTACACACCTGGCGGCCTACACCTGTCTTAAACACCTGGCGGCCTACACCTGTCTTACACACCTGGCGGCCTACACCTGTCTTACACACCTGGCGGCCTACACCTGTCTTAAACACCTGGCGGCCTACACCTGTCTTACACACCTGGCGGCCTACACCTGTCTTACACATCTGGCGGCCTACACCTGTCTTAAACACCTGGCGGCCTACACCTGTCTTACACACCTGGCGGCCTACACCTGTCTTACACACCTGGCGGCCTACACCTGTCTTAAACACCTGGCGGCCTACACCTGTCTTACACACCTGGCGGCCTGCACCTGTCTTACACACCTGGCGGCCTGCACCTGTCTTACACACCTGGCGGCCTGCACCTGTCTTACACACCTGGCGGCCTACACCTGTCTTACACACCTGGCGGCCTACACCTGTCTTAAACACCTGGCGGCCTGCACCTGTCTTACACACCTGGCGGCCTACACCTGTCTTAAACACCTGGCGGCCTACACCTGTCTTACACACCTGGCGGCCTACACCTGTCTTACACACCTGGCGGCCTACACCTGTCTTAAACACCTGGCGGCCTACACCTGTCTTACACACCTGGCGGCCTACACCTGTCTTACACACCTGGCGGCCTACACCTGTCTTACACACCTGGCGGCCTGCACCTGTCTTACACACCTGGCGGCCTGCACCTGTCTTACACACCTGGCGGCCTACACCTGTCTTACACACCTGGCGGCCTACACCTGTCTTACACACCTGGCGGCCTACCTGTCTTACTGTGATGGCTGCATAGACGTGTCTTACACACCTGGCGGCCTACACCTGTCTTACACACCTGGCGGCCTACACCTGTCTTACACACCTGGCGGCCTACACCTGTCTTACACACCTGGCGGCCTGCACCTGTCTTACACACCTGGCGGCCTACACCTGTCTTAAACACCTGGCGGCCTACACCTGTCTTACACACCTGGCGGCCTGCACCTGTCTTAAACACCTGGCGGCCTGCACCTGTCTTAAACACCTGCAGGTCTGCCGTCATGCAGGTCGGCGTTCAATCCCCGACCGTCCTAACAAGTGGTTGGGCACCATTCTTTTCCCTCCGTCCCATCCCAAATCCTGATCCTGACTCCTTCCCAGTGGTATATAGTCGTGGTGGCTTGGCGCTTTCCCCTCATTGTTCCCTTCCTATGAACACTGTGAGGGGTCGGCCAGTTATGTCCCTTATGTGTAGTGGAAGCGTGTTGAACAGTCTCGGGCCTCTGATGTTGATAGTTCTCTCTTGAACACTGAGGGGTCGGCCAGTTATGTCCCTTATGTGTAGTGGAAGCGTGTTGAACAGTCTCGGGCCTCTGATGTTGATAGTTCTCTCTTGAACACTGTGAGGGGTCGGCCAGTTATGTCCCTTATGTGTAGTGGAAGCGTGTTGAACAGTCTCGGGCCTCTGATGTTGATAGTTCTCTCTTGAACACTGTGAGGGGTGGGCCAGTTATGTCCCTTATGTGTAGTGGAAGCGTGTTGAACAGTCTCGGGCCTCTGATGTTGATAGTTCTCTCTTGAACACTGTGAGGGGTCGGCCAGTTATGTCCCTTATGTGTAGTGGAAGCGTGTTGAACAGTCTCGGGCCTCTGATGTTGATAGTTCTCTCTTGAACACTGTGAGGGGTCGGCCAGTTATGTCCCTTATGTGTAGTGGAAGCGTGTTGAACAGTCTCGGGTACTCTGATGTTGATAGTTCTCTCTTGAACACTGTGAGGGGTCGGCCAGTTATGTCCCTTATGTGTAGTGGAAGCGTGTTGAACAGTCTCGGGACTCTGATGTTGATAGTTCTCTCTCAGAGTACCAGTTGCACCTCTGCTCTTCAACGGGGGTATTCTGCACATCCTGCCATGTCTTCTGGTCTCATGTGGTGGTATTTCAGTGTGCAGGCGTGGGACCAGCCCGTCTCCAAGATAACTTCAGGATGATAAGACTGGCGCCTGGCTGCCCAGTATTGGCGGCTCCTCTGACACATTGGTAATTGTGTATAGCAGGACAGAAGCGTTTGGGCAATGTTTGCCATCACCTCTCTACCGAGCACTTGAGGACCTTGGCCGGTTGATGGTCCATGCCAGCAACAGTCTGCTTGATCAGACCTCCAACAAGGAGGTTTAGTCAGAGACCGGGCCGCGGGGAGGTTGATCCTCGAAACCATTGCAAGGTCACCACAAGGCGGGTAGTTCATGCCCACACTCATGCCCACAGTCATGCCCACAGTCATACCCACAGTCATGCCCCACACTCATGCCCACAGTCATGCCCCACAGTCATGCCCCACAGTCATGCCCACAGTCATGCCCCACAGTCATGCCCACAGTCATGCCCCACAGTCATGCCGCACAGTCATGCCCACAGTCATGCCCCACAGTCATGCCCACAGTCATGCCCCACAGTCCCCACAGTCATGCCCCACAGTCATGCCCCACAGTCATGCCCACAGTCATGCCCCACAGTCATGCCGCACACTCATGCCCACAGTCATGCCCCACAGTCATGCCCCACAGTCATGCCCCACAGTCATGCCGCACAGTCATGCCCCACAGTCATGCCCCACAGTCATGCCCACAGTCATGCCCCACAGTCATGCCCCACAGTCATGCCCCACAGTCATGCCCACAGTCATGCCCCACAGTCATGCCCACAGTCATACCCACAGTCATGCCCCACAGTCATGCCCCACAGTCATGCCCCACAGTCATGCCCCACAGTCATGCCCCACAGTCATGCCCACAGTCATGCCCCACAGTCATGTCATGCCCCACAGTCATGCCCACAGTCATGCCCACAGTCATGTCATGCCCCCATGCCCACAGTCATGCCCACAGTCATGTCATGCCCACAGTCATGCCCACAGTCAGTCATGCCCCACAGTCATGCCCACAGTCATGCCCCACAGTCATGCCCACAGTCATGCCCACAGTCATGCCCACAGTCATGCCCCACAGTCCCCACAGTCATGCCCCACAGTCATGCCCCACAGTCATGCCCACAGTCATGCCCACAGTCATGCCCACAGTCATGCCCACAGTCATGCCCCACAGTCATGCCCACAGTCATCATGCCCACAGTCATGCCCCACAGTCATGCCCACAGTCATGCCCCACAGTCATGCCCCACAGTCATGCCCACAGTCATGCCCACAGTCATGCCCACAGTCTTGCCCACAGTCATGCCCAAACTCATGCCCACACTCATGCCCACAGTCATGCCCCACAGTCATACCCACAGTCATGCCCCACAGTCATACCCACAGTCATGCCCCACAATCATGCCCACAGTCATGCCCACAGTCATACCCACAGTCATGCCCCACAGTCATGCCCACACTCATACCCACAGTCATGCCCACAGTCATACCCCACAGTCATGCCCCACAGTCATACCCACAGTCATGCCCCACAGTCATGCCCACAGTCATGCCCCACAGTCATGCCCACAGTCATGCCCACAGTCATGCCCCACAGTCATGCCCACAGTCATGCCCCACAGTCATGCCCACAGTCATGCCCCACAGTCATGCCCCAGTCATGCCCACAGTCATGCCCACAGTCATGCCCACAGTCATGCCCACAGTCATGCCCACAGTCATGCCCCACACTCATACCCACAGTCATGCCCACAGTCATGCCCACAGTCATGCCCCACAGTCATGCCCACAGTCATGCTCCACAGTCATGCCCCACAGTCATGCCCCACAGTCATGCCGCACAGTCATGCCCACAGTCATGCCCCACACTCATACCCACAGTCATGCCCACAGTCATGCCCACAGTCATGCCCCACAGTCATCCCCACAGTCATGCTCCACAGTCATGCCCCACAGTCATGCCCCACAGTCATGCCCACAGTCATGCCCACAGTCATACCCACAGTCATGCCCACAGTCATGCCCACAGTCATGCCCACAGTCATGCCCACAGTCATGCCCCACAGTCATGCCCACAGTCATGCCCCACAGTCATGCCCACAGTCATGCCCCACAGTCATGCCCACAGTCATGCCCACAGTCATGCCCACAGTCTTGCCCACAGTCATGCCCACACTCATGCCCACAGTCATGCCCACACTCATGCCCAGTCATGCCCACAGTCATGCCCCACAGTCATGCCCACACTGATGCCCACAGTCATGCCTACACTCATGCCCACAGTCATGCCCACAGTCATGCCCCACAGTCATGCCCACAGTCATGCCCCACAGTCATGCCCACAGTCATGCCCCACAGTCATGCCCCACAGTCATGCCCAGTCATGCCCACAGTCATGCCCACAGTCATGCCCCACAGTCATGCCCCACACTCATGCCCCACAGTCATGCCCACAGTCATGCCCCACAGTCATGCCCACACTCATGCCCACACTCATGCCCCACAGTCATGCCCACACTCATGCCCACACTCATGCCCCACAGTCATGCCCCACAGTCATGCCCAGTCATGCCCCACAGTCATGCCCACAGTCATGCCCCACAGACATGCCCACACTCATGCCCACACTCATGCCCCACAGTCATGCCCACACTCATGCCCACACTCA